ACCACTTTCAGCAGCTCTGTTTTCACTGCTTGTCCTGCTGTGCCAACACAGCAAAATCCATCAGGACCCTGACTCAGGTTGGGAGGAGGAAAGGGACAGGATTCCCTGCTCGGATGAGGTTCCTGGTGTGGTTCCCTACGTACCCACGTGAACACCAGCCGCATGACACTGGTACGGGAGGGAGGCGGCCTGGCCACACGTAACCTAACCACCATATATTCGTAGTTCCTCTCCAACATTCCTATTCAGCTTCAATGTCTTCCCCAGCACTCTATTTCCGCCCGTTTTTACAGGCAAGTTTCAACACGTTTAGACAAGATTTTCTAGGCATGTCTCCTGCCCCCTGTTCCTCCGGTGACCTCGGAAGTCTTTGCGTTTATTCCACTCCCAACAGATACGTCTTCAATACAGACATGCACCCAGCGTTCCAGGGAAGCAAAGCTGAGATTGGCTGGAGTCTGAAAACGTGAGGCAGGATGCAGGATCACAGATTCAACAATTCACAGGATATTCGTCTAGAACAAATTGAAAATTCAGGTTTGAGTCTGACAATAATCAACAGATCCCACGAAAAGAGATGACATTTTTCCATGTGCTCAAGACAGCGATGATGCACTGAACCAACATGCTATTTTTTTTTTTTTTTACTAACAGAAATGATTATTCATGCTCTACACTTCAATAATCATGCCAATATTTACACTTACCCTTTTGGGGTCTTTCTCTGCCTCGAGTCAGTTTGATTCACTGCTATGTGGCTAAACCTTTCTACCAGCTTGTGATTTTTCTCCACCTTTTATGTATTCTGTTTACATATTTTAATATTAATGCCAAGAAAGGCCCATGAAACAGGAGACTCAACCAAAAAAAATAAAATTTAACATTTAAATTTGGCCATAAATAATGTGAACAAACTTTTTTTTCTGCATATATTGCTGATTGATTTAGCAATAAACACGAAGGTTTGTATTACTGGGACTAAATTGCAGGACTTCATCATTGGTTTTTCATTTGGCATCTACGGTCCTATAGTTATGCTGTTTTTCATGTTTCTGCATCCATTAACCACCTCACCTCCCTTCCTGACTAAAGCGCCTATTTCACAATTAATCAATTATCTTCTGTGAAAAGGGCACATTTACCAGCGTCCGTGATCTCATAAAGCTAAATCGCTGCTTATAGTTGCAAGACAGGCACGTAAAATGCCATGTAACAACTTACTACGCATTCATGCGCACAAAACCTCTTTACAGGTGCTGTTTTTCAGAAAACCCTTGACGTCTGCTTGACCCGCAGATGAAAACGACGCGACTTCTGCTACGACGAGCACTTTTGCAGAATAGTATTTAAAAAACAATAGGAATAACCTATGTACCTACTTACATGCAACCTGAACTCAGTGATCAAAACTTTCACTCACTGACATTAGTAATTACAATAATTTCAAACGGCAAAGAACTTATTTTGTAACATGGCTTAAAAAAAAACCCCTAAAAATTATGCAAGGCTCTAAGTCTCACAGGCAACATATTTTTAAGAGCAAGTACTGTAATGGAAACAGCGTTACAAACGGAACTAGTCATTTACTGAGAAATGCCTGCTATTTGCCTCTCAAATGTAGCATCTTGAAGGCTAATTAGTGTAAAATCAACGCCTCTAAACAGAAATAATCTATACTTTTGGCTGTCTAGGGAGCCACGCCTTTTTATGTACCTAATGCAAGCTCAATCAACCCTCCCCCTCAAAAAAGCACTATGAGGAAAGCCAGAATTAATTAGAAAATATTTCTGTTGCAGTCGAGAATCTAATCAGGATCTTCTTCCCCATGCTGACCAACACCCAGTGTGTGATACCTTCTCCCAGCAAAGCGGCTGATCAAAAACTAGCAAAATCATGTTGAGGTTTCATAAATAATTCATGACTACATTTTACATACAAATTGCCTCTTCCTCCAAGTGAAATATTAAATTTATTTCTCAGGGAACAAATCAAAGAGATATTTAAAAGTGAGGAATAAAACAGTTGTATAATAAATATTTTAAATTACACTAGATTTTTTTAACTACGCAGGGATACGAATCAATGCAGGAACCCACCTAATTCAGCTTATCTGCTTTGAACCCAGGCAGCAACACTACAATACCCTAAAAATGAATTAGCACTTGTGTAACCAATCGTGAAGTCTCTCTTATGGTATATGTACTTTATTTTTGTAAGCAGCTTAATTGAATTTTCTTGGAATCCTTCTCCTAATTTCAAATTTAATTGGGCTGTAATTACAAATATTCTCCGTCATATGCACAGTAAACCTGTTTCACCTTTGTCACACTACACATTAAAGTTAGCAAATGCAACTTCTTGGTAAAGACCGTGCAGTAATAACCTTGGACAGTTCAAATCAAACTTTTAAAGGTAACCCCGAAAACCAATAGGAAAACAAGACTCAACCCAGAAATTAATGACATATACCTCCAACCAAGTAGGCAGGGGCTGAGAACGACGTTCCAGTTTACTGTTCCAGCAGCATTTCCTGGCTGTCCAACAACTGCAAGCGCGTCCTTCCGCGACACGACGAATGCACGTTGGACATCTGCCTCCATCGGTTCCTCTGACGGCTTCCGCACGAAGCGACCCCCGGCTGTTCAGTGGTTGGCGGAAACACAGGGGAGGTACGCAGAACGCCGTCAGCCAGGAATCACCGCTATGGGCGATGAAACCGCAGCTGTCGGGAGCGCCAGCGAAGGACAGACACAGGTCTATGAACATTTGTCCTATCAACCGACTATTGACGCAATGTACGTTTTCCATCAGTTTTACGGACTGATTTTTTGTTTACTCACGTTGCTTGGGATTTTGCAAGCCCCGCCAACACCATGGCAGACTGAACCGGCAAATGAACCGCGAGGTGGAAGACGAGAGGCAAACGGTCAGGGAGGAGTTTTCCTGTTGGCAGAGGTACGCCAGGTTGCACGGCAGGATGAGGAAGCAAACGTCCTTGCAGGGGAGGGTCGACAGCAGGCCAAGTGCGTTACTCGGTGCCTTCAGCATCTACACAGGGCAGCAGTAAAATGTGTTTCTGCAGCCTAACGCGTTCCCACTCGCCCGTGACTTGACACACAACACGAAGGCGCGTCTCGGATTTGCCAACCGTCTTCCCCTCGTTACCTGCTCTGGTTCTCTGTGCTCAGACAAATGACAGGTTCAGCAAACGGCCAAATGCAAGGACCTGAAGACAACACACACCTGTTCTGGGTCAGTTAACTTAGCTTTGGAACGGGACACATACATATTCTAACTTACAGCCTCCATCAGCTAAAAAATAACAGAGAAATGTTGACATGGATAACTGACTGCAGTTGGGTAAAATTCACTCAGGCCACTGCCATCCTTAAGTGAATGCACGCTGTAATTTTCTCAGCTGAATTTAATAATTCAGTTTACAATCAGATTTACACTGCACTATTTTGCTACCACTTTACTCACAATACCATTGATTCCAGAGGAAACCAACTGTACTTTAAGAAATACATAACCTTGCTACTACAGACAGTGCACTTGACTACCAACAAAGAAAGGGAAAAGGGTAGACAATGGGTAAAAAGGGAAAAAAGAGAAGTAAAAAAAGAAAGGGGAAATAAAGGAAGGCGAAAAAAGGAAGTTATACACCTTGCAAGAGAATTCAAGACATAATATTCAAACAGAACAAGGTCTGCAGTGGTATTACAGAACAGCATGCGGAAATCATCTATGCCAGAGCTGCAAAGTATCTAATACGGTTTCTAACTAACAACCAAGGGAAAATCAGGAGTAACAATACATGAGACATCATTTTACACAACAAGGACCTCATTCATAAACTTCATACCCTAAAACCAATCTGTTTGTGTGTAAGTAAACGAACACAGAGAGAAATGTTTTAATACGCGTCTGATTCACAGCCAAGTATAAAACCAGCACTAATTCCAACCAGAATCAGAATTATTTTAATTGTTTTAAGAAATCACAGCAGGACAATCAATCCTATAATACAATTTACTTACAAAGAAATACCCTTGGAATGCATAAAAGTAGAATTAGGATTTTAAAACCTTATAAAATAGATATTAATACATTAAATACCTTTTCTAAAAAAACACTTATACTGAAATTAAATGGATTTTCTTATTTATAGGGGCCACAACTACGTCACCTAAATGTTAAAAGCTCAATGTCTTCTAAACAGTCTGATTTGATGCACTGCCCTAAATATTACGCCAAATATTAACAAAAAGATCATAGTCAAGAAAAAACTCTGTTTCCTTTATTTCCATTATGACATAGAAGACAAAACAGCAGAGGAGAGTGGCAAAGTTAAACAACCAACAGTATAAAAACTTCAGGCACTTTCATAACTCTGAAAATAACATGTTTCAACTGTTTACTTGAAAAAAATAATCCCTCCCTTCATGAATTCAACGTTCTAAAAATTCAGTACGGTTCTAAGTGAATGATTACTATTAACCAGAAGAGCTGCATGATGATGAGCTGGGCCCCAAGGAGAAATAAGCAACCTCAAATCCCATCACAGAATGCTGACAGCAGTCACGTGACAAAAGACCTCTTGAAAACAGTATTTTTAATGAACTACATATAAATCAAGTTTCTCAAGTTTAACAAGTTGCTAATAAGTAAAATAGGTGGTAATTTCTAACCACGGGGTCACAAAGAAGTCGATTCTCCTCACCTTTCTGGAAGGCACCAGGTTCCTGGCATACCGCAGTGCGCTGTGTAACTCCTCGAGGAGATAAGCCAGCACAAGGAGCCCTGATCCCAGCGGAGCATCAGACCACGCTGTGCGTGTCACGGAAGCAGCACGCTGGAGGCCATGACACCAGCTATCAACGGCTGAAGCCACAGGTCAGGATACACAACAGGGGTCGAATGAGGAATGTCGTACCCAACCCTAACAGACCTTAGCACTGAAGAGAACAGACACCACATCCTTCAAAGCAAGCACGGAAAATGGAATCTAAACAACCTCAGGGCTGTTTTTTTACATCACCAGCTTTCATCAGAGCCTTGATAGCTCTGGCCCTCATCTCCAGCTCCAGAAGCTCCAGCTGCTGTGCTGATGGCTGAACATCTTCTGACGGAGCGACGGCTAAGGCTGCTGCTTTGGGCTCCTTCGGGCTGGACTCGGCCAACCCCAGGATCTCATTCACGCTCTTCTCAATGTCCTTCTGAAGGTCATCTATCTGACCGGCTCCACTTCGGACACTGTTTTCTTGCACGTCTGGGCCATCTTCTTCATTGCAGGGGCCTTCTATGTCGCTATCATATGCGTCTGCGTTTATGCTGAGGACATCACTATCTTCTCCCTTGCCTGTAACACAAATGTGACAATCACGGTCGTCTAAGAGAACCATTTTTCTTTCCACTTATGAAATTGTTTCTGCTTAAAGTGTTTCTCAGCAGAGTAAGAGAATGGCAAAAAGATCTATGAATTTAAGACAACTAATTCTTTTTCTCCTCCAACTTTTAAGGCTGATCTAATTTAGACAAGTGTTAATGCATTTTTATGCCATTTTAGAAGAACATGTAGTTTAGCAAAACAGCAGTACCAGGAAAATTTATTTCATCCTATGGTGTTACATGATCTATTTTCCTAATTAAAATGTCATAAGGTTTTATATCACAAGGAAGCCTCTGCAGGGCAAAATTGATTATTGTTTATTACCTATAAAGTAAATTTAGTTTTCAAAATGCGATCTTGAAAATGACACTTAAAACTATTTTATGTATTTTAAAAGCAGTGGGACATTACAGTCAGGCACAGTACTAAAAATTAATAGAAGCTCCAATAATAGTGAAACTATTTATAATCTCTCACAACTGTTTCAGATGTATTTAACTCAGTAAAAACATGGTGAAAATTATGGTACGGACTTTTAATACTGGATACAAGTTGTAATTTATTAGAAGAGTCAGTGCAATAAAATAAAAGCAAAAGTCCTAACAGAACCTGAGTAACTGTTCTCACAATTTGGCTACAGACAGACTATTGCTTTTGGCATATCAGCCTCAGAAATTATTAGCCCTTCACCATCCTTCGTGTGTTTTGACCCTTAGAGTACGACTGGTTCCTGCTTACAATGGACAATTTATATTCAGATGATGGTAAAGTTACTGCTTCTAAAGGCTTTATAATTTCTTTTGGTAGTACCACGACCCAAAGGTATGGCTGTGTTCCCTGTTAATTATTAATGAGGGTTCAGAGCTAAAGATCTGTGGTTTTGAAATATGTGTAATTTCTCACCATGAAGATTCAAAGTATGTTCCTGTGTAAGCTACTTTAGTTTGTAACAAAACTCTATGTATCAAAAACATTACTTGTGTAATACATATTCAGACAGCACTGCAAACCTGCTTTTTAAATTCTCTTTAATTCTCCCTTAAAAATACAGCAGATCATGAAGAGAAGAGAGACAAACTCTTCTCAGCACTGCACATGGATGGGACTAGTGGTAATGGGCAAAAAGTAAACCACGTGAAATTCCATCTGAAAACGCGTAAAAACTTCTTCACTCTGGGGGCAGTCAAACACGACAGCACGTGGTCCCGAGCAACCTGCCCTAGCTGACCTGCCTGCGCAGGAGGACTGGGTTCAGTGATCCCAGAACAGCCCTTCCAACCTGCACAAACCTGTGACTCTCTGATGCTTAAAACCAGCACGTTGACACCTGCCTTTAAAAGGTTCTCCTTCACCCAACTGTTAATTTTTTTAAATTTCTAGTTTCATCCATCCGTACCTTTGGCTCCCGAACCCCAAATCCGCTGGGCTGGAAGTACGGATGCGCAAGGATTGCTCACCACCAACAAAACAAGGGACATACCCAAGCAAGCACTTCCTCTGTGAATTGCTCTTTTTAAATATTAGGCCATCAGAATCTTACTGACATTGAAAATATTTTTAAAAAAGCCCATTGATAACGCAGTGTAACACAGCAGGGACCTGTGCTAATGCCTTTAACTAATTATCCTCCTATCACTAATTTTTTTGCTTAAGATGCTAACATTTAATGTTTTACTGTTGGAAAATATCTGGAAATATTTTCTTAGTAATTCTCAGTAAGAACGTTGCTTTGACATGGGTTTCAGATCCAACCCAAACAATTCTGTCCCCTTTCCAAAAAAAAAAGAGCAATGCATCTCTCAAATTTTTTGAAGTCTTTGTTTCACGCCACTGATGTTTCAGTGTCTATTATACCGGAAATATTTAAAAATGCAACAGAAAGAATGTGAGACATTCCTTGAAGACACAAGAGTAAAGTGTAAAAAACTCCTCATCCACACAGTGAGTCGTATTTTCTTCTTAAGTTTTTGTGCAAAAATCTCACAACAGGTAGAAGTTCTGAACTAAGACTGGCAGTACAGCACAGATTAGAAAAATCAATTTTTTCTTTGTTTGAAATCATGTAATCCATCAACCTTTAAAGAGGCCACTTCTAAAGAGAAACGACGTTTTAAAACGCCTTTTGGTACATGCATGCATTTGGTTTTAATCCATGACCAGCGCAGAAAAACCTTACGAAAGACCTATTTTTCTTGGGCTTTACATTCCTGCTTTTTTATCCTGAGAGTGTGGGGGGAGGGCAGGGAAACACCAACACCGAATACTAAGAAAGCTATAAATGCACTTTCTCTGCTTAAAAAAAAAAAAGGGGGAAGAAAAGGAGGGAGGTGAGGGGATTTTTTTTTTTTCTGGTGAGAAAAGAAATCTCTAACTGGTTTTGTAAACAACAGTAACATTTTAAAACATAACTCCAAGGGGTTTATTGATCGGGATTAAAGACTTTTTTACTATATACGCTTAAAAAAAAGATACTCAGATATTCACTCCTGATCACAGGCTATGACTTTTCAAAGGATTTAAGTCCTGATTTAGAAATATTGCATGTTACCCTGACTGAGAGTGGAATCCCGATGTAGGATCTTACACAGTTATCAATCCAGCACCTCCTAGCATTGGTTTACTGGACTGCAAAAACTGGCCATCATACTGGTACCTACAGGCCATACAGCAGCACACACCACCAATGCATGTGGCACCTCCAACGTCCTAATCTAAGCTGTCAAGAAAGCAAACTCAAGTCTGGAAAATGGACAAAAAGCCATATAGATGAAGATTACAGAGAACTTTAGGTCTTTGTGTTTTGTACGATAAATCACAGTTTTCAAGCAAAACTGAAAGTCTGAAACACAAAGCTGTAAAAAATCCTCCTCACAGCAGCGAGTATGAAAAGTACTCGTAAGAGATGAACATACCAGGGCCTTCTTCAACCCTAAGTAGTTTTGCCCTGTTCCAACTGTGACAGTAACGTCAAGATTAATATTCCAGTCTCAGATGCGTTTTCACCTATTTCCCATATCAAATTGACTTTAAACACTATCACCTCAACATTACCTTGCAAGACACTAGGTATGCAAGACACTCAGGGCTTTCTCTGCTTCTCACCCTGACCCCAGGGGAGGAGGCTAGGGGTAGGCAAGAAGTTGGGAGGGGTACACATCTGAGCCCAACTAACCAAAGGGATATTCTCCACCACATGACACTGTGCTCTGCAATAAAAGCGCCCAGAAAGGAGGAGGAAGTAGGGATGTTCATGGTTATGGCATCTGTCTTCCCAAGCAACTGTTATGCATCCTGAGGCTCTACTTTCCACAAAGTGGCTAAAAATCTGGTTTAAATGGGAATTAGTGAATAAATCCCTTATTTTGCTCTGTTTCTATGCACAGCCTTTGACTTTGAGAGAGGGACCTGGACAGGCTGGAG